TTATTCTTAATAAATTACTTCAAATTGTACTAACTCATTGTCGCGTATTTTTGAATATTTATTTTATTTCAAATGGCAGGGGTTTTGATAGATATCATTAGCCATTTAGCTGACTTCGGATGGGGTGGGAACAGAAGAGCGATTCACAGATGTAAAAGAGGCAGACAGACACAAAGGTAGAGAAAAAAGGTAAGGTGAGGTGAGTACTGTGGAGGTGGTGGAATAAGACACACAGTGGGGTCATAGTGGTTTGAAGTTAGAAGTCAACTGCCGGTTTATAGACTTGTTTTGCCGTATGAGTATACGTTGGGGAGGGTGCACCACGTGGAGGTAAGTCTATTGCACACCCCTCAATTTTAATTTAACTTACCTGATTTTTGTTCGTAGAAATTACTAATTTACTTATGGAACTGTTACCGACGTAGGATGGAGCACTCTTGTTAAGTTCTCCGCCTTCTATTATAACCACAGAACACTGACGTGTCGTAGTAGTAGAGCTATGCGTATCATTTAGCTGTTGAAATTGATTTTGGATTTGGCACGATTGGGGGATAGGATAGTTGCCACTCGTACTTGAAAATAAGCAGAAAGTCTTCTACCTATCCAAAGGGTGTCGGGGTGTATGTAACTTTTAGAAAATGCACGATAATGAGTAGCCTTTTGTTTCCCCATAAATTGTTAACCCTTTAACCTTTTGTGCTTGAAAAATTTTTTCCTACTATTTTCCCTTCTGTTACGAGACTAGTATCAAAAGAGCTTATTTTGAAAGAGGACAATACGCGATCCTACAGGGCGTTAAGGGTCTAAGAATCATCAGGAACTTTGTCAAATAATTGGAAGTGCCACGAGATTCTTAGAACTTGTTGAAGATTGCTTCGAGTTCACTATTCTTTTGATTGAAATCCTAAGCTAACAATTTCGCTTGGTTCTGAAGCGAGTCGTTAGCATATCCGGCAATATGACTTGTAACAATATATTTAAGCTTTCCTAATTGTTACAACTTAAATACACCTTTAAAGTATTGATGTGCACAAATTTTGGCACGTTAATGCTTTTATTGACTTTCATTATAGTAATTCAGATTTACGTAGACCGGATTTATTAAAAGTGATTGTTTCTAAATCCCATTAAACTTGTGTGTATATTCCAATACCCATCTTGATTCGTGATTGAAAGCTTAGGTGCCCCCATATTTAGAAACCCCAATGCATCCACCGCAAATACGCTTATGATTTTGGCCTTCGTATGACGCCTTTGTCTGATTAACTTTTGTCTTCACATCGTTTACATTGTTTCGTAATTTTACTCCTAGCCCGAGTGCTCATTGACGGGTGCAGTGTTGGATCATGCCTTCCGTGTGGCTGTAAATGTACTCACTATTGCTTGTCCGTGTTCTCTTGGACTGGCAACTCCGACGGCCGTTATGGTTGGAACTGGTGTTGGTGCTCTTCATGGTATCCTTATCAAGGGAGGTCAACCGCTGGAGAACCTTCGTAAGGTACCAATTCGCATCTTTATTCTTGTCTTTATCACTTATTTATTTCCAACAAAAGCTGATCGGTTAATGTATGTATCAGAGATTCGAATAGTATAGGCTGACATAGACTTGTTAGCATTAATTTTACTGTGTGGAAATACATCAGTTTTGATCCGAACCAAATTGTCGAAGTTGCACTCTTTGTTCTATTGGCTTTTGAAGTTTGGCACAGGCGGCGGAGCTGAATTTTATTTGCTCTTATTTTGAGGTCTGTGAAAATGCAATCTCTTTCATTACTGTGTCTTCACTTATGAGATGACGGCACATAATGGCTATTACGTCTAATCTGTGACTTTGCAATTTCTATTATTTTGTTCCTTCTCTTTTTTACTACTTACAGCGCTCACTTTAACCGAAATATTGCCTCCCAAGAACAGTATAATCCCAAATTAAGTTAATGGCAGAGATCTCACGGTTACCTTTTCATTAGCTATTCAAAATAGAATTTTGTGCAAAGAATTAAATCAATTATCCCCATTCTCAGACATTTTACGTTTAATTGCATACCCCTCCATCTACTCTTAATCGAATTTAATTCTCAATTGCAGCGTCTAATCATTTCTTGAGCTAAGTTGATCTTGATTGGATGAAAGTGTCTTTTACTTTCGAAATACGCGTTTGAGCATGCTGTGTTGTCAACTGATTTGCTCTGCTACGAGCGGTTGTATGTCACAAACATGTGTAGTCATTTTCATTTCCATGTTAGCTACTAACTCATTATTATTTGTTTATATGGGCCAACAATATTTCAATGTATAATATTGATTAATTAGTAAGCACTAATGTGTAGTTATTTGCATTTATGCTTGCGTACAGACAAAACGGTTTTTTATTATCATTGAAAAGGAAATAACCTTTTCAATCGGGGAAGGGTTTTACGAGGATATAAAAAGGGCTGTGGAGGGGGGGGGAGGGTTTATTGAGTGGGCACTAGACAATCAGGGGAATTTTATCTCATATTCATCATTAGGCTCTTTACAATTAATTCCTTGTATGTAGTTCACGTTCTTATTTGCTCACATTTCCTTACATTTTCTGTGATTGTTGCCAATTCTATTGGCAAACTGTCGACCTGCATCTCCACGTTTAGGGGAAGTTGTTTTTAATGAGATCACAATTCCTAATCTAGCCGAATTTTTATTTCTGCCTTATTTATGACCAATTTTGATTCGCTTAAAAGCTGTTTACTTGATTACAGCATTCGCTTTATCGATTCTATTAATATCTTGTTTTGTGCACCACCATTGATTATTTTAATTATTTGACAAGAAATGTGTACCTATTAGCCATGTGGACTTGATGCAGTAAAATATGAGAGGATTTGACCAGTGGGTTTCCTGATTATTCCTTCTTCAAGCCTAGGTGAATGCATTTCGCTGATTATCAAAAGATGTTTTTACAGGCAAGCATGAATCTGATGCCAATGTTATGAAGGACATTCCAATGTGTGAAGTTGCAGTCACTCTTGTATTTCATAAGGCCTTAGGCAATCGGCAATGTTTTGCCCTGGAATTCCTTGCAGGATCTGAGGAAGTCATGTTCATACCAATGGTTCAAGCATGACTTTCTTTCCCTATTGGTGCTAGAAATGGAGCTTTTACGCGCAATTAAAATTTATTGGGTGTGGGTACATCACTCAAAATGTACGTGAATCAGGACATCAGTTTCTGATGTCATCAAGTTTATATTGTTTGAAATTAATGTCAAATACTGAAACCTTGTAGATTTAGCTTGGTGATCTCTGTGACTTCAAAGACAATCCATATATATTGTTGACCTTTCTTGAAATTTTTGAGTTGCCCCTGTGTTTTGGTTTAAGGTTACCACAATGCTTTTCGATAAGACGGGAACAATCACCATGGGTCGGCCACAACTTTCTCGAATCACCATTCTCGTTTCGTCTATGTCTTCAACCGTAAGTCGGTTAATCTTTCTTCACATCGATTTGCTGTTCGTGCTTGTGCCAGGTTTGGTTTTATTATTGGCCTTGTTATTTACGTAGAATGCAAATCAGTCAAAAATCTATATGCATATGTTTGCATATGGTAAATGACCAACTGCTTTGTACATTTGATAGGTGGAATCGGGTTGTCAACAGATTGGATCGATCAAATCGATTTCCCCCAGTCGCTTGCTTTACATTCTTGGCAGTGCTGAATCCTCGGATCAACATCCCATTGCAACTGCTCTCGTTCGTATGCTTCGCAATATTCAGTCTGCTCTTCGTGAAATTCCAAGCTCCGGAGTCTGGGGTTCAGAGTTTGCCAGGGTTCGTAGAAATTTCAAAAATTAATACTTACTTTTTAAATGATGAGGCTCGTATATTCACTGTGGCAGTCATATTTGAGCGTTTTTTCGAATCTTCTATATTTAGGGTTTAAGGCTGGGCTTGTGTAATCGCTTGTGACTAGTTTCTCCATCCTTTTCAAATTCAGGCAATCTGATTCCTGATCTTCTTACTAACCTATTGATTATTTAAGCTTCCGATCCATGTTTTCAGCGCCTCTGCTTTTTCTTCGATTTTCCCTGTAGAAATTGATTTTCTTTTCTAAAGTTTTTTTCTTTAAAATGGGAAACGTTTAGGTGCGAGGTAACGTTGTGCCATGTCGCATTGTACTGTACTTTGTTAAATCCATTTGAAATTCCATTTCACCACCTCAAGGTCACCTAATTTGTTAACATCTGGAAGTTGCAGTTCAGATACTTAAGTTGATGCATTATTGCTGTAAATCAATTGGGCCTTTTCTCCTGGAACTTAGTGGTCAACATTGACAATTATATCACTATCTATCATAATAGTTATTGCCAAGCAACCGAAAGAGCTCAATTCAGTTATAAATGAAGTCCTTTAGAGTAGTAACAACTTCTATTGCTCTCATCGATTTTGATTGAATTTTTATTGTCTAAAACAGTCCGTTTCTGGAAGCAACTGGTTACTTCTTCTTTGGGTGCCTCCTCTTCCTCTTGCTTTGTTTCACTTTGAAGCTTCTTATTGCACGCTATTTCTCTATTAAGGTGTCCAATATGAAATCAACTCCTGGTTACGGAATGTCTTGTGAAGTAGTACTTGTACCTGGTGACTGCCCTGAGGGACCTGATTTGCCGAGACCCGCCTCTCTGCCTTTTGATGCGCAGTCTTCCGAGAAGAAGACTGAAGTATATGCAGATTACGACGCAGCATTACGGTTAGAAGTGGATTATTGCCCTGCCAAATGGAACTCGAATCCAAATTTCTCTTGGGCCGGTATGTTTCTATTAAATCTTGCTTTTTTTCCTCATCGAGAATGTAGCTCAAGCTTTGGATGATACTTTTATTTAAGATAATCTGAAGGGCCAGTTGGACCAAAATGATCTCTCTTATCTATTTATTTGTATGAGTTTGTGACTGATTTTTTATTCTCGCATATTTATGCATCTCACAAACGATGGATCTCAGGTGAAATATAGTCTAAATCTTAAGTAATGGGTAGAATAAAACCCTGGGTTTGGAACCATGTTCTTGCATTCCCATTTCATTTTCTACTACTTCGGCCTGGTCACCATATTCACCAACGCGGGGTTCTAAGCACTTACACGATCATTCCGCGTTTTGAGTCCAATGAGGGATTGGTTAAGCTATAACATGAATTAGTTGAATTTGGGAAGCATGATGTACGCATTAATATATGTTCAAGATGCTGGACAATCTTTTCTGAGAACTCCAATTGAAGACTGTAAATGAGTATTTGTGACCTTCGTTACTTACCTTTAATTATCTCATTGCTTCTCTATGTTGACAATTTTCAGTTTTTTTCAAAATTAAGCATTGGTCCATTGTTTATTTACTTATTTTCACATTTCATCGTCCTTAGCTAAAAGTGTCTGACATTTGCATCATAATACGCAATCCAATGAGTCTCATACCTATTATTGTTACTATCAAAAGCAGTTGCAACTCTTAATTATGAGCAGATATCTATTTTTAACTAAACGACCTCAACAAACCTTGAGATGGGAGGATAATTAGGTTGGGACAGCAAGAGTCTCGCTCATTGGAATCTTAAAAGCGTTGGGTTATTCATATTCTGTTTGAGAAGGTTCACTTTTTGACGTCTTAGTATTAAAATTTTATGATTTGACTCCCAGATTTAGTTGTGAGTTTATGCCCACATCATCTGAGCCCGTTAGCGGCTAATTTAATCAAGTTGTTGATCATCTCACTTCGATGCGCATTTACAAACATTTATTTATATTAAATGGCAGGCGTTTTAATGGTTATCATTAGCCCTTTAGTTGACTTCAGGCTTCACAGAGGGAGAGGAACATCAAAGTGAAAAAAATTTGAGCGGGGGGAGACAGAAGAGTGTTTCAAAGACGAAGGTAGAAAAGGTAGAAAAAAGGTTAGGTGAGTACTGTGAAGTAGTCGAATATGACATATTGTGGGGTTATGGTAGTTTGGAGTCAGAAGTCAACTGTCGATTTATGGACTTTTTTGCCGTATGAGAATACGTTGCTCAGGATGTACCACGTGGAGGTTAGTCTATCGCACACCCCGTATTTGCAAACATTAATTTTGGCATAACATAGCTCCCAACCCGTATCATTTCTTTATGCCTTATTGCGATTCCCGGCAATCGTTGAATGACTGAAGTCTTAGGCTCCTATGGTTGACACGTCTCTTTTTTGTTTGCAGACGTGACCAAAGGCGGAACCTACCGTCTACTGGTAGGCAATCGTAGGTGGATGCAAAGGAATAAGGTGACCATGCCACAAAATGATCTCACTTCCCTCCTTCGCAGAGATGAAGATGAGGGTCGAACTGTAGTTTACGCGGCTATTGATGGACATCTAATTGCACTGTTAACAATTGCCGATCCGATCAAGCCCGAGGCTGCTCTCACTGTTGCTGCACTCAAAGTTATGGGCATTCATGTGGCTCTTCTCACAGGTGACAATACAAGATCCGCTATTTCTATTGCTAAAAAGGTATGAGCTTCTATATCACACTCGACCAAAGCTTTCCTCCAACAACATTACCGTGCTATTTAATTATGATCTTCGGTATTGTCACCTCACAGTTTAGTTTGCTTCCAAATTTTGGGGAAGTTGAATGATGCCACATTGCATCAAACAGCTTACTTGTATCCAATGACGTAGATCCAATGTAGCTACAATCGAACCTTAGCGGAGCTCAATAAGCAGTGTTTACTCAAATTACTGAGGAGAATCGCTTATATCTCTCCAATTGGACATTTAAGTTAACTCTTGTCAAAATTAACTATTAGTAGGGATGGTTGAATCATTCACACAATTGTTAAAACAAGTGCCATTGGTGCTATTGGATGAAAGAAAAGAATTGTGATCACTGCTAGATGTTACTGCTCTAATTAAATAAGCGGTATTCGGGTTCATCTTCTCTTCTATCTATACTTACTTTCGTTCTTGTTCCAATAGCAATATGACTTTTATATCATTCTATCTGACGTAATTATTCATTAAATCAGTTGATGGTGGTTATTTCATGACTCTTTAACTAATACTTTTATTGTATTTCGACCCACTGAAGGGCAGAAAATTGAGGGGAGTTGTTTTTTCATTGCGTGGTTGTAAGTGAAATTTGTTAACAGAAAGCCACTTAGGAGATTGGGAGGGGAAAGGGAGATCAAAAAGATGTGTAAACCGGTGTCAAGTTGCCCAGGCGTCCTACTTTATTTAATTCTCGGTCTAGGGCAAAATTCACCTTTCACATATCATCTCCTGCATTAATGACCGAATTCACGTTCTTATTCTCCACCGATTATTGACCGATTGAGAAATTAGAGTAGCCTGTCATGACACCTCAAGTCTACCTTTCTTTCAGGCATCAAAGCTTGATGAGATTGACACATAACTCTCTAATGCACACTTAAGGGTAGATGAGATGGGTAAAAATGTTTTTACACGTATCAGAAATGACTTAAGTACACCCAAGGGGCATATATGCAGCCTGAATTATAATAAAAACTAAAGGAAATAACTATGGTGTTGGTTGTAGAAATTATATATTACTGAATAAGAAATTTGTGTTTGTCAATACCGGAGTTTTCCGAAAATCCTCCCAGGGCGGTTAAAGAGAATATTCCATTTCATGAAACAAATTTTTGCAATCAGAAACCGCCCACCCGAATAAGCGCGCCTATGTTCTCTTAAGCTTTAACTACCAATGAGAATTTATGGGTTGGTCTTTATTTAACTAGGTTGGCATTCGAGAAGTGTACAGTGAAGTTGTTCCTGCACAAAAGGCCCTTCGAGTTAAGCAGATTCAAAACCGCCGCACTAAACGTATGTTGCCTTATCTCGATTATTGTCTCTTAATACTCATATTTTATAAATTTATTTATATCAAATGGCAGGCGCTTTGATAGTGATCATTAGCCCCTTAGTTGACTTCAGGCTTCACAGAGAGGAGAAGGAACATCAAAGTGAAAAAGGTCGAGAGGGAGGAGGGGGAACAGAAGAGTGTTTCAAATATATAAAAGAGACAGAAACAGAGGTGAGTACTGTGGAAGTGGTGGAATATGACATACAGTCGGGTCATGGTAGTTTGAAGTCAGGAGTCAACTGCCGGTTTATAGACTTTTTGCTGTATGAGTATACGTTGTGGAGGGTGCACCACATGGAGGTAAGTCCATCGCACACTCCATATTTTGTAAATAAGAACCTATATGTGGTCTTTCTCGTATATATGGTGTATGAAGTGTATCATTCAAATCCCATTTTAACAGTCTTCGCCTCAGCTAATCTAGCTTTCCACTATCTCGTTCACTTTAATGTAACTAACTTATTTATTTATAACAAATGGCAGGCGTTTTGATAGTTATCATTAGCCCTTTAGTTGACTTCGGGCTTCACAGAGGGGAGGAGGAACATCAAAGTGAGAAGAATTCAGGAGAGGGAATAGAAGGGTGTTTCAAAGATGTAAAAGAAACCGACACAAAGGCTCAGAAAGGGTAAGATGAGTAGTGGTAGGGGTCGAATATGACATACAGTGGGGGTGATGGTTGTTTGAAGTGAGAAGTCAACTGCCGATTAATAGACTTTTTTGCCGCATGAGTATACGTTGGGGAGGGTGCACCACGTGGAGGTAAGTCTATCGCACACCCCATGTAACTAACTAGTTTCATGCAAAAATGTATTACTCTCGCTTTGCTGATAATGTGGGCCACGATAGCTTGTCGTTCAAGATGCAATGGGGTGTGTCGACGCTATGATGTTGCCAACATTTTTAACCAGTATGTAAGCACTTTGTCCACTGCATTTCCAGCATGTTTACATGTTGGTTTTGTTAAGTTATTGTCAGTCTTAACTAATACCCAAGTGCTTATCTCCTGAATATTTGAGAACTTAGGCTTTTAAATACCTCCTGGAATAGCTCTTACTGAAGGGTTTGTGTGGTCGGATATCTCGAAGTAAACAAAGAATTGCCCATCTAGAGAATTAGCCATCTACTCCCCTATGGCACTGCGCGAAGAATCGTTCAATGGACTAGCAGACTAACGATCTCCTCTCCAATACTTAAAAAGTGGAATTTGGGAGGTTATCAAAGCGTAATGTTAGTGGGTGAAATTAAGGGCGATGAGATGAACTTGGTAAATTATAGTTTCACGTGGCGATGTTGAGCAGACATTGACAACATGCCATTTTTAATGTCAGACAGGTTTCGCGTTCCCACTATCCTTCAAAAACCGATATTACTGTGCTTTTGTTTGGCTTCTCTTTCTTTGCCTTGCTCGTAGAGAGGGTCACCGTTCTCAGATAATTTGGGTTATAAGTTCAACAGTCCTTTGCCTGTATGTAAATTTGAAACATATAATCTATCAATCTACAATACGAATCTCTATGTTTATGAAATGGCATTGGTTGCAATTTTGTTTCATCCTATGCTTTTAATAGGTCATGAACAAAATTACTCCAAATCACCCGAGCGAACTCCAATGGGCGTCAAAGATGTAAATGGAGAGCATGAAAACATGAATAGCTCATCAGTAGCATTCGTCCGACCAGACGATCACTTGAATTCCAGTTCTCCAGCATACCTTGAATCAAATTCATGTCAACTCGAATCAGACGACGATGACGAATTGCCTCTCGACAACAAGGGAACTCCACTCAAAAGCTTTGGACGTCGGCGATTCTTCGCTGATCACAAGGGGGAGTATACATTCATTGGATATCGTAACAGCCGTTCTCGGTTTCCAAAACGCGGTAGTAGTTACTTATGTGTTATGACACTATCATTCTTGGTAATCAGTGTTTAATTAACTCATTGCCTTTTAACAGTCCGCTGTAGGAAGCACCCGGGAAGAGAAATCGTAGCAATGGTGGGAGATGGAATCAATGACAGTCCAGCTTTGGCTCAAGCCAATGTTGGAATTGCAATTGGCTGTGGAGCAGATGTCGCTGTGGAGACGGCTGATGTGGTACTAGTACGAAACAATCTGGTTGACGTCGTTGCGGCTATTTCCCTCTCCAGAGTCACCGTTCGTCGGATAAGACTCAATTTCTGTGCAGCGATATTCTACAATGCAATTGCAATTCCCATTGCTATGGGATTCTTATCACCAATTGGAATTGAACTTGCACCTTGGATGGCTTCTGCAGCAATGGCCACCTCATCTATTACTGTTGTCTGTCTCTCTCTTCTTTTAAAACGTTGGAAGAAGCCAACAGAAGCTTCCCTCGTCTCACAAAAATATGTGAGGCTTCTTTCAAACAGTGGCCTTACCTATGATCAGGTAGTTAGCTTTACTTCTCACTTCTATGCATATGTATTTATATATATATGAATATGTATATGGATATAAATGCTATTATGTTTTCACTGCTTCCAGATTCGTGTGAAAAATGGAGAATCATTGGATGCCCAAGCTGCGGTTATGTCGTTGTAGAGGAAATACATTTTTTCCCCAATAATCATTCCAATGAAATTTTAACAAACATGGTTGTTTGGTATTTTGTATAGGCGCACAAGTGAATTGAATTAATAAAAAAATAAGTTCAACATTTGAAATGAGGTCTTTTGAATTTTGGCTAAAATCTTGGGTACTCTTTATTTATTCGAAAGCAGTTTAGGAATCATATTTTAAGGAAGCGAATCGTCGTGGTTGGCCTATCAATCGCCCAGCTTTTTGTGAACATTTTCGTAAAGTAAATGAAAGGGGCGTATTCGACAGAGGTTGATTTGGAAAATGACCAACCAAGATAGAGACGCCATTCTCTTCGAAATCGAAGCAAGGATCCACTTACCAGTGGGGGGCTCTGACTAAATAAGACTCCAAAGTAGGGTGAAGGAGTATATTTAAGATATGGTCCCTGTAAATACCACGAACTCCACAAACACAAGGCAGAAAAAAGATGAAGTCAGTAGTAATCCATTTTAGAACGAACAGAAGGCGATAGTCCCGTAATCAATAAATAGAAAATGGGCAGTTAGTGTAAAGCTCAAAATAGCATGAGATGAAATAGGTAACGACAAGCGTGTCAACATTCCCCCCCCCCCCCTCCAAACCCAGTGAGTATTGCAATACGCTTCCAATATGGACTAGAAAATTCATAATGACTTCATAAACAAAGAACTAAATAACAAGGAAAGTTAATGTTTGAAATAGCACTATCTGCGGGCTTAACATATATCATTATGCTTATCAACGAAAATTTTCCCAGAGTCAACGGAAAATCGCAGAAAATAGAGATGGGGAAAGTAGCAGTTACACATCGACAGCAACCATTATACAATTCCCAAACCTTCAAAAAAGCTATCAAGATAACCGATTAAAAATAATTATATTATAACCGTAATTTAAGTCATTGGTATATGCACCCGACTTAAGCCGACAAAACTTATATTTCACAACCCTTATTGTAAACCAGAATTTTTCCGAGGCAAACTCAGATTCAAGCATCAAAAAACACACGTTATATTACTAGTCACGCCAAAATTCTCAACTGAGGATTTCATGAAGCTTACACACAATAGCAGATGAAGGAAGACCATCAAGTGCAACACACGACGACACACAACCCAATGGAACTAATGAGAAACACACGGATCAGGCAATTGAAAGAAAATTCACAAGAACCATAATAGTTGTTGAAACAAACTATACCAAAAAACAGCAAAAAAGATACGGTTTAGCCAAACAAGTACAAAATCAGAACCATAGTTATCATTAATGGAATTACCATAAACAAGTAAGGCGTTAACAATGATTACCAGATAAATGAACAAAAATAATAAAAATAGGTGGATCACAATGAAATTCAGAAAACCAGTAAAATCAAAAAACTATAAATTCCTTGATGCGTCATACTTTAATTTCTACTATTTTACGATTATTAATATGTACATTAGGGAATTAGCCAAAGAGATCGAAGCCCATGTCCTCGTCTTCAGACTCGGATTCCTCTTTCTTTTCCTCCTTCTTTTCAGGTACAGGAGCGGCACCTCCGGCTGGAGCTCCACCGGCTGCTGGGGCAGGTGCGGGAGCAGTAGCTGGGGCAGCAGCAACAGCACATGATGACGAAGCTGCAATTATATCCTTCACGTTGACTCCATTTAGCGCACTGGCAAACAAGCTACAGAGATAACCCTCAACAAAGTTGCAATTAGCTGCCTTCAAGATGGTGTTGAGCCTGTCAGCTATGGATCAAAATGAAGCATGAGTTAGACTTGATAAATGGGATAAGCCACAGAGTAAGAGTATAAAGCAACCTACCTGTAACGTCAAGACCGTCATCAGCGAGAATAAGGGAGGCGTAGGTGCAAGCGACTTCTGCTTTCGTATCCATAGTACTTTAGATGAGCGATAGCCGAATAAAATTCCTTAGCCGAAGAGCACACGCTTAAACTAAAGAAATTAATGCAATGCACGATGTTCACTTAAACAAACCATGGTTTACATTATGAGATCGTTTTTATGAATATAAATATAAAAGATGTGCTATTTTAAAAGTTTTAGTTTATTAAAAAGCAAGTAATTAACAATGTCATTAGTTCTTTACTGTATTTACATTATTATTACACCAAAGATATCTTATTATTTATAGCAATATTTATTAAACATATTTTAATTATTTGACTAATTTAACAATATTATCAATTTTGATATAGTGTGGTTTGATGAAACGCATATTTGTGCTGAAATTATTAATATTATTAAAAAATAAAAAATAAATTAAATGAAAATTATAATTCATTTATTTTCTTCATTAGCATTGATGTGGTGGCAATTACTCCTTCAGGCAAAATATTCCGAGACGCGTCTGTATATGATATTAATGAACGATAATAATGTAAATACAATAGAGAACTAATGACATTGTTAATTACTTGCTTTTTAATAAAATAAAACTTTTAAAATAGCACATCTTTTATATTTATATTCATAAAAACGATCTCATAATGTAAACCATGGTTTGTTTAAGTGAACATCGTGCATTGCATTAATTTCTTTAGTTTAAGCGTGTGCTCTTCGGCTAAGGAATTTTATTCGGCTATCGCTCATCTAAAGTACTATGGATACGAAAGCAGAAGTCGCTTGCACCTACGCCTCCCTTATTCTCGCTGATGACGGTCTTGACGTTACAGGTAGGTTGCTTTATACTCTTACTCTGTGGCTTATCCCATTTATCAAGTCTAACTCATGCTTCATTTTGATCCATAGCTGACAGGCTCAACACCATCTTGAAGGCAGCTAATTGCAACTTTGTTGAGGGTTATCTCTGTAGCTTGTTTGCCAGTGCGCTAAATGGAGTCAACGTGAAGGATATAATTGCAGCTTCGTCATCATGTGCTGTTGCTGCTGCCCCAGCTACTGCTCCCGCACCTGCCCCAGCAGCCGGTGGAGCTCCAGCCGGAGGTGCCGCTCCTGTACCTGAAAAGAAGGAGGAAAAGAAAGAGGAATCCGAGTCTGAAGACGAGGACATGGGCTTCGATCTCTTTGGCTAATCCTTTATGTATTTATTAATGAGCTCATTAATAAATTTGGTACTTACACTTGTGATGCATTTGCTTTCATTTTTCGCAATTTACCATACTGATTGTCTTGCTGGAATTATTCTAGTTCTTTTTACATATCTGCTTAGCATTTTCATTAAATATGTTAGCATTTAGGATTCGTTGGTTAAATATGTTAAAGTCTTAACGAAAATCTTGCTGTACCGCACTTTGTCGTCGTGGCTTCTGAGGCTGTTTTTCACGTTCTGATAAATATTGAATTCATTTTTAATGATTTTAAATCGTTCTTCCATTTGCCTATTATTGAGCATCGATTGGCTGATGTCTTAGCTTCCAATGTACAATTTTGTTGAGCGGCATTTATTAACCTTTGACTTGCCACCTGAAAGCAGCTGATGGTGTGTACTGATTGGTTCATGTCTTTTTAACTATTATTACATGGAATGTTTGGACGGGTGTGTTATTGAGGAGACCCTAAAGATATGTTTGTACTTGTAAATATTCGTTCAACTTAAAGTTATAACATTTTCCTGAGAACTTTTTACTCACCATCTTTTACCAGGTAGCAGCCCATATGCATTTAAGTATGAAATTAATTGCCGTGTTGGACACGTCATCGCATGTTTGCACGCCATGATTGGGAGGTGGTCGCCAGGATTGGGAGGTGCGCCGTATAACTCTGTGTGCAGCGATCGTACAAACAGTGACCAATCATTAACCTCTGTTTAACCTAATCCCCCACCCTGATCATGATTAAGCGACCTGCGTGTACACTTTATCCACAATATGCTCACTGGGTAAACGTGCTACACGGCTGTTTCCTTTATAGCTGGGCTATAGCTTAGCTGGTTCTGGGAGTCTAGCTAGATGTAGGTGAATCTGCCATAGAGATTTCTGAGTCAGTCAGGCTTTACTAGCGTAGCAATCCGCTACAGCCGTTAACAATCAAAGTATGCGAAACTGTGTTGTAATCCTCTTTTCAATATCCATGAGGTACATTTGAAAAGTTGCTGGTGTTGAAAAGTTATGCGTTGTATATTTCTACCAAAATTTTGCATTTCGTCCTTATGCGTCACTTACCATTTTTAAATAATTATTTTATAGGAAATTTCTCCAAAGCAGATTTCTACTTATATCTATTAAGTAACCGTCTTTGAATTATTTACAGTTGGTTTGTGTTTCCTTTTAGAGCAAACCTATCTTCGAGCTATTAATCATTATCTATCGCTTTTTACATTTCCTTCCCATTCATTGTTTTGCTTTAAGTTTGAGTTAAAACAGTGTTAAGTTTTCTCCATCTGAAAACATTAAGATTGTGGAAATGGATCATACTTCAGTAGCAACGAGATGAATTATTGAGGTAGTATAATTTCTCTCTATTGAGTAGGCAGTGGTTCCACCGATGGATTTAAGTTTATCTAATTCAAATGGCAGGCGCTTTGGTAGTTATCATTAGCCCTTTAGTTGACTTCAGGCTTCCCAGAAGGGAATGGACATCAAAGTGAAAAAAGTCGAGGGAACAGAGGAGTGCCTCAAAGATTTTAAAGCTACTGACGCAAAGGTAGAAAATAGGTAAGGTGAGTACTGTGAAAGTGGTGGAATATGACATACAGTGGGGTGATGGTGGTTTGAAGTGAGAAGTCAACTGCCGATTAATAGATTTTCGCCGTATAAGTATACGTTGGCCAGGGTGCATCACGTGGAGGTAAGTCTATTGAATTTGTAAAATTTGCTTTACTGTTTCAGATTCAGTAGCGCGTTAAAAGTACGTACGTTAGTCGGTTTCTTTTGCCAATCCAGTCCTCTCAACTGTTCCAACAAGTAATTAACTATACTTACTACAATAAATAATATTTTCAAGAAGGTTGCTAAAACAAGTCAGTAAATTATGACCGTTCCTTCAATCATTCTAACCTCTTCATATCCACTGCAATTTCGAGTTCCATTGAGAAAAATGCGAGTGTTTTTGTACCTTTTACTCTAATTGCCATAGCAACAGACAATTAAATTATGATAAAAGCCAATTCTCACTAATGAAAGCATTCATTTACAATAGGAAGAGAAGAAAAATAGTCTCAGAAGCCAGAAAAATCTTTCTTTGTTCAAAAGATGTCCAAGAGGAAAATAATTCATTTCATTTATTACTCTTAATTGCCATCAACTGTCCTTCCTACAGCCTTATTCCATAAATTGAAGATGGAAGTATTTAAAAAGTAAAACACACTGTAACCTGGTGTTCCCTTGGTATTTTGTAAACGATTCAAAGCAGTGTTCAATAGTTGCCCCTGAGTAAGGAGTGGAAATGCATGAACAAGCGTGCAATGATAGTTATCATGAACTATTCAAAACCACCCATACGTCCAATTTTCGAAAGTTAGTTCACTGAATTTTACCTTATTAGTAGTGTGCCTTAATGAACTTCAAAATTCGGAGAGGCTTTTATGTTCTAGAGTAAAAAATGACTATTTAAGGGAAGTGATTTTCGCACATTTTACTTCTACTAACATATTTCAATTCTGTTTTAAGACTCGTTTTTCCCATCTTTCCACGCTCAATACAGAGTGCAACTGAAACCCTGTTTTTGCTTTTGATGGAGAGAGTAAAATCAAAATAATAAAACAAGTTGTGACGATGAAAATATATTAAAAACTGTCCACTTCTGAATAGTAGTCAGTTGTCTACTACATTTACAGGCCTTGTAAATTATCCCGATTTGATTGAGTACCATAATTCTTAATGTGCCCTTTAGTCATTTCATTTAGACCCCGTTTTCGTCCCCCCACTAATTTCGAGTACAATTAAAAACTGGCGATTGGAGAAATCTAAGCCGCCCAAAGAAAACAGCGATAAAGAGCGAGTTAAACGTGAGATACCAGAGTGAAGATGATATTTGAACCCAAAAAAGTCGAGCACACAGCTGATTCGACTTAAATGAATGCATTGACTTAATTTCGATTTTGCAATTAGAGTTGAAGCGGTGTCGTAAGCCCCATCGTGATCAATCAGTAAATATCATGTCAATGAAAAAGATGTCATTAGAGACTTATCAAAAATTGGTTTTACGAAGGCCACCTTTGCTAACATAATGGCAAATTAAATGGGTGTTTCAGAAGGAAATACCCTTTCCCAAGAGCTTCTTGCATGTTCGTGATAAAGGGATTTTTGATCACGTCTGTTTTACAATCATGCATGTGATACTTTGCACTTTCGCGAAGTTAACCAATGGTACGAGTAAAGTGCTATTTTAACGCGGCCATCCAAATGCGCGCGGAAATAACATCAAGCACCTTCAATAAATCCAGCGTTATTCAGGAAAATTTTTCAAACTATTAGTAATTTCAAGCAGTATTTGCCTGCAATACTTTATTTCAGTATTTTTAAGTCGTGAAATAATAAATGTCTATCTGATGTAATTTACAATGTGATTGAAACGTAATTCTTTTGTTATTTCCCCACTACCATCAAAATTAAATAAAATATTCCAAAAATTTATTTAATTGAAGTTATATTTTCTGATCCACGCAAACTCAAGTTACCCGAACAATTGAATGAGTGTCCAATTTCATTGCCAATTACCAAAAAAATCGTATAACAAGATTATGCAGTGCTTCGCGTGGATAGAGTTCATGCTATTTACATTTTTAGCATGTTATATTATGCATTTAATTCCTGTTTAAGGTAACGTGTAATGATTATTAAATAAATACAAATTTATAGCCAGAAAAAAGTATTGCTTGAACTGTATATGCTCAATACAACCGTATTAACACAGTCGGAATGTTTAAAAATAAAATTGTAAGGTGACTACCATTCTAAGAAATACGTATTGTTTCATTTTTAAATGAATTAAAATTAGTATAAAAGAATCTACAAAAATTGAAGATACTAATAAATGATGCGAAAAGTTAGTTCGATTTTATCAAATCTATTTCGCCCTTTGCCACAGTACCAACCAACATAATCAACTAACCAATAGACTGTGGATATTGCAAAAATGAATTGGTTTTAAAACCCGCGTGTCAAATCCCGGAACCCAAAATTTTAAAGCACAACCTGTTTCTGAGAATCGAGTGACGTATGAGTGCTTTCAAAAGGTTTTTTTTATTTAAAGATCAAGACGGACATAAATGCGAAATAGAACTTTTAGTATTCAAATTTTGATACAAAAAACGGAGAGGCATGTCTATCTTTTCTGCATTTTGATAATCTAATTATTAGCTTTGATTTCTCCTCTTTCTGAGGATCGTATTTGCATAAGCACTTTCGAGGCGTATATTTCATTTTGTTTCGCGTTCCAGAGAGCTGCTTTAATTTCGAAAGAGGAATTAAAAACTTGCACCCAGAGGTAAAAGGAAAGGAATTTTATTCCTTGATCACCTTCTCCACAACCAGCAAGTTTTTTTTTATGCTTCGATGAAATGTAATTGCGTTATTAGTAATGCTCACTACTTATGTAAATATTCCCTATTAACATTTTAAACTTTGTTTTCCTACTTGATATGCTGTGTCATGGTTAATGATTGTCCCCTCCCCCTCCCCTAGTCATTGTCTCAAGCATCTACTTATTACCTACCAGGATAGTTTTTAGCAAGTTGTTCTCAACCAAAAAATTTTCATGTTGCTAAGTTGTAACTTGCCACTGAAAGCCGGAACCCGTACCTTTTTGCATTTATTGCCAATGCCAATTATGCGCCAATATATTTTAATACAAAAATTGCTCCACCTATCACGTTAGAGGAAGGGATCTAAAGTCTTGACACTTACTTTCAAACTTGGATTTATCTTATTGGCACATACTGTGCAATCACCAGCTGTCCAATTGAATTAATTTTTTTCAAACAATAGTACCTAATCGCTCCACCCCACGAGGTCCAACCTCAGGTGACTAGAAATAGAAAAATTTCCCTCTTTTTCATGATTTTTTAAGGGCTTGCAATTACCTTACCCATAAAATTTAGGTACCGTAGAAGCCTTATCGGCATAACCTCTCG